CAACTTTGTTATTTCTAATTTAACGATAATAAATTATTCAAGAAGAATGATTGGTTGACCTGAATTTTTATCAGGTCGGGTCAGGTCAGGTCGACCTGTTGACCTGACCTGACATCAACCTGAAAATCTATTGACCTGATCTGATTCGGAGCTCCAATATATACTTATTTTATTTCTTATTCTTTTATAACTATAATTATTATATTATTATCTTTTATAATAAGTTATTAATATCAAATTAATTAAAATTAGCTTATCATTAAAATATGAATTTCAGATATATTAAAAAAATAATTTTTTTTTCTTCATATTCTTTATCTAAAAATTGATTATAATCTACTATACTAATTTGTATTTAAATAAAGTCTATAAAATAAGGTTTATTATAAAAGGAAATGTGATTATTAGAAGGTTTCATATGATTATTTGATTAGCAAATCAAAATAAATAAACCTGAAAATTTCCATGATTCTTTTTGAATTTCATTCAACTATTTCAACACTTTTTTAACTTTTAATAAATATATATCGTAGCTCTAACGATGGAGAATGATTATAAAGAAGTATCTGCTATAAAGTAAGTTTTCATTTAATTTCATGCTGAATATTTACAGTAATACAAACGTTATATAATTGGTTTAGAAGAGTACTTGTTTCTTGGTGGATTATCCTCTTGACTTGTTTGTAAAATTCTCTGGTCCATTGTTCACTTTTTGAAGTGAAGTACTATTCTACTTATAATATATTCGTAAAAATCAAAAACTATTTCACTTAATTGCGAAAAATATTTGGTATTTTATTTCTAACCAAAATTTATTTTTATTTTATTATTTTTTTTTTTTAAAGAATTACTTATAAGGTTATGGTCTACGTCAAGAGCATGGCAACGGTAGATTGCAAAGCTTTGCAAAATGTAAAAGTAAAAGCGCCCAATACAGGCAGTATTGAGGCGCAAATTAATCAAAAACGCCTAATAATGGCAGTTTAGTAGAGGTTGAGTCTCCTATACTCAACATGGATTTTGATTTTCCGGAGCTCCCCCACCTGTTAATACATGTAAGGACAACGAGAAAGACAGAAAGAAGCTCAAGAACAAGGAACCGATCCGAAAAGTAAACAGTCCCGAAGTAAGTTAAATCAAATCGGACCGAAGGTTCCAAATGATTTGGTGGGTTTTAATTTATTGCTTGAAATTATTATATTATTAATATGAATGCTTGTCTAACATTGTATTGACATTTCTCTTTTTTCACACTGATAGCCTCCAAATATTCTTTTTTTTTTTCGTTTCTTCAAAAACTCTCGTAAATTTAATAAAAAAAATAGACAACACGAGTTATTTACCTGGTGATTTTTGATAGAAAAAATCAATATTTTTCCTCCGGATTTTGCTCCCTAAATAAATTCCAAAACCCTTTTTGGGCTATCATTCGAACTCTTCTTTATAGTTGTAATATTCTTAATGTTTTTAGATATTTATTTATCTTTTCAAGAGAAAGATGCTTCGATTTCGTCAATGCCAATGAGAATGTAGCTTTTACTTTGGGTGATAATGATACTAATAATTGTATAGAAAACGATTCTTCTAAATGCAATGCATTAGAAATGAAACAAATCCTTTATGAGGATGAAGAAAGAACTAACGTACCGCGGAATATTAAAATTTTGATAGTTTTCAAGTTTATGATTATACTATTTGTTTATAATAAATCCTTTTAGTTAAATTTACAATAGGTTTTCTTAAACTCCACAAAAAAAAAAAAATTATATTAAAGATTTTGACTAGAGTTTTTGGTAGGTTAGAATTATGGTTAAGTTAATTTATTTACCAATAAAGAAATTACATATTTTATATTGTGCGATCCCATCATTTTTAAATGGCCTACACAGAGAAAACGTCATTAAAGTTTGTTCATTTTCATTTTCGTTGGTTTTATACCTTTTTCCGTTAAATCAAAAGACATCAATATACAGTATCTATCGAAAAATCAACAAATAAAAGCTACTTACGTGATAATACAAACAACCTTCTAGGCCGGTGAGTAATTTACCAAATGATTTCAA